CGAGCTTTTTAACTTTTTGAGAGTTCATAACGTGCATATTGCCGTTATAACTGAAACGTTCCTTAAACCTGCCCATAAGGTTAAGAAGGACGCAAATTACTTGATTTATAGAAATGATCGTCTTGATGGACCCTGTGGTGGCGTTGCCATCATTATTCATAGACGAATCAAACATAAAATTCTTTCTTCATTTGAAACCAAAGTTTTTGAAACTTTGGGTGTTTCTGTTGAAACAAAATTTGGACAACTTACGTTTATAGCTGCCTATTTGCCATTCCAATGCGTAGGCCAGCAAAAGAATTTTCTCAAGGGTGACCTCCAGAAACTTACCCGTCATAGGTCTAAATTCTTCATTATTGGTGATTTTAATGCAAAACACCGCTCATGGAATAATGCTCAAAGCAATTCCAATGGTAATATTCTGTTTGATGATTGTTCTGCAGGTTATTACACTATTCAATATCCAAACAGCCCAACATGCTTTTCTTCTGCAAGAAATCCCTCCACTATTGATTTGGTCTTAACTGATTCATGTCAACTTTGTAGCCAATTGGTTACCCATGCTGACTTCGGTTCTGATCACCTTCCAGTAACTTTTGAAATATCCCAAGAAATAATTTGTAATCCCAACAGCTCTACTTTCAATTACCATAGAGCTGATTGGGAGCAGTATCGAACATTTATGGAATATAACTTCGATCCAAACATTCCTTTACAAACCAAAGATGAAATTAATTATGCTCTTGAATCTCTGACTACTTCTATAGTTGAAGCAAGAGCTGCCTCAGTACCAAAATGCGAGGTTAAATTCGATTCAATTATAATAGACGATGATCTTCAGCTCTTGATCCGTCTTAAAAATGTCCGTAGGAGACAATATCAAAGAACACGCGATCCTGCCATGAAAGTTATCTGGCGGGATTTGCAAAAACAAATTAAAAAGCGATTCTCTGCCCTGAGGAACAAAACTTTTGAAAATAATATTTCTAAATTGGACCCGAGTTCCAAACCCTTTTGGAAACTCACAAAAATTTTGAAAAAACCTCAAAAGCCTATTCCAGCGCTTAAAGAAGGTGGTAAAATTTTGATCACAAATTTGGAAAAAGCTCAGAAACTTGCTAAGCAATTCGAGAGTTCCCATAATTTCAGTTTGGGTCTTACTAGTCCTATTGAGAATCAGGTTTCTCGGGATTTTCTGAATATTTTCTCTCGGGAAAATATTTTTGATGATTCCTGGGGGACTGATTTGGACGAAGTAAGGTCTATAACTAAAAAGTTTCGAAATATGAAAGCTCCAGGTGATGATGGAATTTTCTATATCCTCATCAAAAAACTCCCAGAGAGTACCTTGTCTTTCTTGGTAAAATTATTTAACAGATGTTTCCATTTGGCATACTTTCCTGATAAATGGAAAAATGCAAAAGTTGTTCCAATTTTGAAGCCGGATAAAAATCCAGCTGAAGCTTCTAGCTACCGTCCAATAAGTTTGCTTTCTTCAATAAGTAAACTTTTTGAAAAGATAATTTTGAATAGAATGATGCTTCACATCAATACGAACTCAATTTTTGCAGATGAGCAGTTTGGATTTCGCCATGGGCATTCAACTACTCATCAACTCTTAAGAGTTAACAATTTAATTCGTTCAAACAAATCTGAAGGCCACTCAACTGGAGTTGCTCTTCTAGACATAGAAAAAGCATTCGACAGTGTTTGGCATGAAGGTTTGATTGCTAAATTGAAAAAGTTTAATTTTCCACTTTATATTATGAAATTAGTTCAAAATTATTTAACTGACAGAACTCTTCAAGTAAATTATCAAAATTCCAAATCTAATCGACTACCTGTTAGGGCAGGAGTTCCTCAGGGTAGCATTCTTGGGCCTATATTGTATAACATTTTCACTTCGGACCTCCCTGATTTGCCTCAGGGTTGCCACAAATCTTTGTTCGCTGATGACACAGGCATTTCCGCTAAAGGAAGAAGTCTTCGTGTTATTTGCAGCAGACTGCAGAAAAGTTTAGATATTTTCTCTTCTTATTTACAAAAATGGGAGATTTCTCCCAACGCTTCCAAAACTCAACTTATAATATTTCCACATAAGCCTAGAGCTTCGTTTTTGAAACCTAGTAGTAGTCACATAGTCACTATGAACGGAGTTCCAATTTCCTGGTCAAACCAAGTGAAATATCTTGGATTAATACTTGACCAAAAATTAACTTTTAAAGATCACATTGAGGGCATTCAAGCTAATGTAACAAATATATTAAATGTTTGTATCCTCTTATAAACAGGAAGTCCAAACTTTGCCTGACGAATAAACTTCTAATATTTAAACAAGTTTTTAGACCGGCCATGATTTACGCTGTGCCAATATGGTCTAGTTGCTGCACTACCAGGAAAAAAGCACTTCAAAGGATTCAGAACAAAATTCTGAAAATGATTTTGAAGTTGCCTCCCTGGTACAGTACAACCGAGGTACATAGAATTTCGAATGTTGAGACTTTAGAACAAATGTCCAACAAAATAATTAATAATTTCAGGCAAAAATCGTTGCAATCCTCAATTGCAACGATTAATTCCCTTTATACTTAGATAAGATTTAGTTTTAGTTTTTAGTTTTAAGATATCAATTGTTATACTGACATGCAGGTTAAAAAACCTGTTTAAAATACTGAATTGCCAAGACATGAACAATGTAAAAACACTTAGATATATATCATAACAATTAAGGCTGGTACGTTACTGCAGTAACTGGAGCACCTAGGTTAAAATGAAATGTAATTTATTTTGAATTTGGAACAAATAAAGAGTTAAAAAAAAAAAAAAAAAAAAAAAAGCGCTTCAGGTTTGCTTTTAGGCTATCCATATTCAGAAGCATGGAGAAAGCAGTGGAGAAAGCACAGGTCTGATAATCGCAACGTTCGTGGTTCGAGTCCAGTCGGCAATCTGATTCCTATTTTTTTCGACCTAACTAATTGACCTCACTAATACCAACAATCAATACGAAACTAACGATTTTAAATTGGCTCACCACTTTAGTAGCCTATTGGTCCCAAGCAAACGATTAACGTACCCTATTCTTGTCGAAATTCTAGTACTACGCAATGTTTGTTTTGATTCGCTATGAAAGTTTGACAGATAAAATGAGGGGTTATTGGTTTTTCCTATGTTTCGAGGGGTGAATCGATAAGCTTGGGACCGAAGAGAGTACCAGAGCTGAGCCAAAAAGTTGAGCTCGTTTCTTCGGGACTTTCTGGTCTTAGAGTTACCTCTATGCTAATACACTCTACATTTTTCGGTCTCCAATTTTCTTGCATTGGACTGCAGCTAGGTATAGAGGTTTTCACGTCTGGTTGTATTGGTAGGATATATGAGACCGAGGAAAATACATAACAAATCGATGTCAAACTCATTTTGACAGATTTACTTTCATACATTTTTTAGGTTAGCCAGAGGAAAATAATAAACAACTTTACACGGCGTTGCTCCCGCTAGTGTGCGTGCGTTAAACGTCACTAATCTCTATATCGCATCCTCGGTTCATGCGGTCTCCACTAACATCCTCTGATGATGAATCCCACATAATTGTAAGCGAATCTTACATCTCCCGGTTGGGTGTAGACGTATAATAAAGCATGTTATTAAATCAATTGAAAACCGTCAAATTGAAGCGTCAATGTATGTGCAAATTACACTTATTCAGTATGTTATTAGATCAAACTTCTGGTGTTGAATCAGGAAGACAGTCATCGTTTGTATAGATTTTAATAAGTATATTAATCAAATCAGAGCAAACAGCGGAATAAAGGCACATCTATCGATCTCAATGAGGTTTTTTCAGCTCATAATTTCTCGATAAACTTTTCAAATGGTCCTATCTGCTTTGATCGATTCTCTTTATCGACTTTCTCTTTTCATAACCACTGCCATGCAAACAGATTTCGCGCTAATTCTACCACATAGTTTGATAAAGGCGGTTCTTTCCTAGCGTCCAAAACGTCAAGTACAACAGGGAAAGGTTTTGCAGCTGAGTTATTGACGAAAGGGAAAGTCGATGAAGAGAATCGATCAATGCAGATAGGACCTTTTGAAATGTTTATCTAGATTTGACAACCCGTTTTATTCAGCATTGTACACGGATAGAAATCTCCTTATACCTTTTGGCAAATTTCTATTGCTGATTATTCATAAAATGTATGAGTCAACTAATGAGCAGACGCCTTGCAAAAAGTTAATGAAGATCATGTGTTAAATGAAATCTATAAGCGGTCACACATACCTTTTATACATTCTTATATGACCTATGCAGTTCGTCTTACGGAATGTGTAAGGCTGATGTTTTGGCAAAAATGTATAAGTGAAACGCATGAATAAAATAATTGATTTTCGTTTCGTGTACACTGTTATAAAGCATTTATTCAATATATATGTTATTCGTGACTCTGAATTGTTTGTTAGGTTTTGCAGCTGAGTTATTAACAAAAGAGAAACTCGATGAAGTTAGGACCATTTGACATGTTTATCATGAATTATTTTTCGACATAGAACTGCAAAATCGGTAGAAATACCTATCAATCTGTGGTAGTTCTGGCAACGCTGCCAACCGTCATCCATCAGGCGCGAAGCGAGGGCCTTAACAAATTGGATCATGCTTTTTTTTTTGTGCGTGATTTGTTAGGTTAGGTACCAAACGGTCTGCCAAGATCACGACGCGGCCTGACGGACCATAATTTTGCGTTGATAATTCAATAGCGGGCGAACGGTGACCCGATGGTCGTGGGAAAAGGTTCAGTTTTTAATGGTAATTTTCGGCACTCGGACACAGTTTGTCTCTAATTTGCAATTAAAATCCACTCCACAGCAGCAACAGCCACACCACAACGGTTGCCGTTTTGGTGTCTCCTTAGAGCTAGCTGAGTTTCTGGAATTTGTCTTGGACACTGACTTGATTGACACACTTACCCTAAATTGGACGTGGAAGGGAAATTGTGCAGCCTTACCTTTCCGTGAGCCATCTGTAATGATATAATGAGAAGTGTTCCATTAATGGCTGCAATGTTTACAAAAACGTTATTGAACTGTCAAAATCTATCATTTGGGAAACCAATTTCCACAGTAGCAGCCAGTTTTTTTTTTGTTGCTGTCGTCGGACTGAACGAAAATTGAAAAGGTCAGACCGCACACCACGCACAACGAACGCGCGTGTGTCGCGTGGGAACACTGGGTTTCCCAAACAAACCAGGTGGCACCGACCGTCACCGATTTCGCCATGGCATACGTTGTGCATTATTGTCGGGGCTGCTTGCTTTAGGGTGAACAGGCAAACATGTTTAAACGTCAACGGTCAATGAACAACAGTGCCCTACATCCTAAAGCGTTAGTAAATAAGTGTTGCGCACAGAATTGGAACCTAATAACCTGTAAATACACTAGACTGTAAATATTTGCGGTCGTGAAGATTCGCAACCGAAAGATAGTTAAACGGTATTCAACGACAATGCCGGACACCGCACCACTTACCGCGCCACGATATTCAAACCTAATGGGAAAGCCGTTCTGGTGTATTGTTATTATTTGTTTATTAAAATAGTTACTTGGTACTGTCACGATGCTTGCTATAAAGTATTATAAACAATATCAATGGTTTAGATTACATCGTGTTTTAATTAGGGTGAATCGCTGTGGAAACCTTATTTCTGATGGATCTTACTAACACCTCGGAATTTCGAGGGCACAAATATCAGCTCTCACAAATCATACAATAATGAAAATGGAGCTTCACGTTTGCTTAATAAACATGCGTCGAAATTTGTCTTATCCCTCATCCACTCATGTGCTTGCAATTTAGCATTACAAATTAGTTTCCTTATCCGTACGCTTAACAAGACGTCCCGGTGTATTTTAATTTCTGATATAAAATAAGCAGCACATCTTCTCCAGTATCCACGAATCGATTGCAATGATTACATCACCATCTGTACATGTACCGACGTCCATCAGCCAATATTATCACGTCCCATGATTGGAGATGTTGTTGTAGTTCCCTGTTTCTCGGCCCCTCACCATACGACTTTCAACGACCCACCGAACGGCCTTTACGAAATCGAAATTTCAAACCTGTAACACCAGATATCTGCGTCGAGCCAAGCCAGACCATCGTCATCATCATCATCATCATCATCAGCATCATCCGGAGGAAACAAGATTCCGAAAAACTTTCTCCGAATCCTCTCCCTGAGCTGTCTCCTGCGCATGCTATGAGTCGGCTGAGGGTCGCTTCGATGACTCGTGACATCACATACATGCCATTGTGTAGTCTTCCGACCCATCGTCACGAGAGAAACTGGCAAATGTACCGCTCGGCACACAACCAGCGCAGCAGCGGCTCAATAAATATTGCATTTAAACTTAACTCCTTTATTCACATTTAAATGGACAGCCCATTTGGATGTTAATTTCATTTTCCCTTTCTATTGAAATCACTCACCTGATCGGTACCGTAGCCGTAGGGATGTGTGAGACCCTTGCCAACGCGATGACAAGTGTCATCTTTGAAGACTCGTTCGGGTCACGATTCCCATGTTCGAACCAAGCAGTCGTTGACGATATAGTTGTAAAATTGTTGGTCAAGTAGCCTGTTCATGTTCAGCAAGAAAAAAAAAAAAGAGCGAACCATCCAAATTGCTACATTTTACACAGCATCTTCGAATACCTAATTGCCAAATTATGCAATTTGGACGGAGAAAAACAAAACACCGAAAAGGTCCACTAGACCCATTATGGATCAGTTACCAAATCTGGCTACCAAGCCACGCGTGCCCTCAACGAAGTCGAGACCCCACAAATGCTTCGTTTTTGACACGACTAATCACTCAGACACCGCGCAAGTATAGGTAGGTACGCACTGCTTGGAAACATCTTGCAACTTCTGATGTCTTCAAGTGCCCTTGATGACGGACGATGATGCTTTGCGGCTGATACGGTTTCGAAGTCGGCCGACGAGAGCCGGGTGAACTACCATTGAAACATCAAAGTAAGTCAGACTAAGGGGAAGCTGCAAAAACAACCTCCTAATGTTTATCCATGGCAACGAGAAGAGATGGACGGTCAGGCCTACTTCGATGGGAGTGGGTTTTTTACTCTCTCGCATGGACGGTAAATGGCATACGCTGTGGTTTATTGAAGGTGGTAAAATTAAACCGCTACGAGCTTACAAGTAAACACGCGGTGGTCGTTAAATGAGGGGTGAACAAATCTGTAAAAAGTTCACAAGATGCCAGTTAGAAATATATGGTTAGTTGATGAAATATTACTATAACTGCTATAAATCTGAAGCTCTCCACAAATAAAATTCAAATGAATCAGAAGTTGTTCGGCGATCCATCAAAAACAGCGATCAACCAATGTGGGTGTCTACTATCTACCATCGTGGATCGATCTTTGCTGTTTTGAACATAATTAATACTTTACGGATGGTCAAATCCTGAGGACGCACGGGGTATCGAAACATGAATATTATCGAACTTACATGAACAAACTGTGAAAGTTTGAAAATATTTCAACGGCGAAAACTTGAAAAAAAGAAAAGATTTTAGTATTTTACCCTTTTTGCACTTCTGAATATGTAATATAAAAACAACAGATTTAAGCATCTCTGCCACAAGTACACTGATCTGGAAAATTTCTGCGTCAAATTAAGGATACTTTCTTCTAAAAGTTTAAGATCACTTACTATTTTGATCCTTGGGTTCTGAAATATGATCAGAATATGTCCATGATGTGCATGGTCAGCATCACAAAATTGTCCAAAACTTTATTATCTCATCATGTGACACATCAAATCACATTACAATTCAAAACGAAGATATAACGTCATACCGAGTGTCTAGGACCAAATTGACCATAGCTTGATATGTTTCGGATGCCCCCGGGGAAGTGGTCGGTTTCCGACTTGGGCTGAACTTCATCATAAAGGGCGAACACGAAATTATTGCGACACATTCAACAGGGCATAACTTTTTTACCATTGGGTAAAAATCAACCAAATTTTGCACACTTTCTCATTGATGTGTATTGTGTACATGCTGTCAAACTCGAAGTCGTGTTTTTCGATTCAACGAAAATGGAGGTGAACCAATGCGAGTTGAGAGAACAAATTCTTTCCAAACACCTGGAATTTCCTGACCTGTCACACCGGCAGTTGGGAAACATTCACCATTCAACAGTCTCCAGAGTGTTGAAGCGGTTCCAGGAGCGGTTGACGTTGGACCACGACAAAGGAGCTGGAAGAAAACCGGGACCGGAGAACAAAAAGACGGAGGGAAAGGTGAAGCGGATGATTAAAGCAAATCCCAACGTCTCAAGCCGTTATTTGGCTAAAAAGATCAGAATGTCGCAGAGCTACGTCCAGAATGCAAAGAAGAGAGCTGGAATACATACATACAAGGTACAGAACTTCCCAAACCGCGATGAGCGGCAACAATCGACGGCTAAAACTCGGGCACGGAAGCTCTACGAGAAGATGCTGACAAAATATGGCTGCTGTGTGATGGACGACGAAACGTATACAAAAGCCGATTTTAAGCAAATTCCGGGGTTGGAGTTTTTCACCGGCAAGAGCAAGTTCGATGTGGACGACAAATTTAAGAAGAAGAAAATGTCGAAGTTCGCCTCCAAATATCTCATTTGGCAGGCCATCTGCTCTTGCGGACTGAGGAGTGAGCCTTTCGTGACAAAGGGCACAGTAAATGGCGAGATCTACAAATCTGAGTGCCTCGAGAAGCGCCTTTTGCCGTTCTTGCAGCAGCACTACGAAGCTCCGCTATTTTGGCCAGATTTGGCATCATGCCACTATTCTAAAAGTGTCCTGGAGTGGTATGAGGCCAATTCTGTGGAGCAGTACTGGGCAATATTGAAGCGGGAACTTCGGAAGAGCAAGAAGACAGTCAAAGACGAGAAGGACATGTTAAGAAAATGGAAAAAAATAACTGAGAAACTGGTACCGGATGACACTGTAAAGACTTTGATGGAGGGCATCAAGCGAAAATGCGTTCAATGTTACACTCAAGGCTCCATCGATTAACTTTTCTTTTGATTTTTGAAGTAAATATATGTATAAAACTACCCTAAAATTTTGGTTTGATTCTAAACATTATAAAAAAATTGGCATGACATTTTCGGTGTCGCAATAATTTCGTGTTCGCCCTTTATGAGACCTAAAATGTCATGAAAATTCAAAACTAAGGTCGTTGGTGGTAATATTGAGTTTCCGGGACTGAATTGGCCACACCCAGATAGAATCAATGTGAAAATACACAGGTTGCTTAGATATTCCATTTTCATTCGTTTCCAAACGCGTGCTAAGCAACACGAGTGAATAAGTAAACATTGACATGACAGTTGCGCATTCATGATCAGTCGGGACTACTGTGTTACCTGACTTATACTGAATATACGTTGTATACGAGTACCCCGAATACAACGTATGACTCGTCTAATTTTGCATAGCATTTGTAATGTAAAATTAGACGAGTCATACGTTGTATTCGGGGTACTCGTATACAACGTATATTCAGTATAAGTCAGGTAACACAGTAGTCGCTCGTTCAAAAATGAAGCTTGATCACGAGAAGTGCCGTAATTTAGTTTGTGCTCTGTGTTTCCAAAAGGCCAAATCGCCAAGGAAAATACACGGCAAATGGAAGTAAACAATTGTCCGACAGTTTTTGCCGTTATATGGTGATACAGATCAAATGTATCCGAAAGTTTTATGCGCAAGGTGTTATATGGCTGTTTATCGAAGGTAATTCAAAATAGACATTCCAATATAAAAGATCGTATAACCTTGTTTAATTTTTCAAATCACGGTTGGCACACCGAACTCTACATGTTATTGATTACAGTAAGGATGTTTCAGTAACTACAAGAAAGAAATCAGCGCGTGCTAGCCCAAGTAAAAATTCAGTAACCATTTGGCATCCACTCTGATTTACGATGGTTTTATAACGGCAATGAA